TAAAGTCAAACTCCAACTAAAGCATTACATCAGCGAACAATTCTATTGTGGCCAGGCATAGAAATGATAAGATATTTATTAAGGAATTAACTGGTATTGACAGCAAAGGAAATGACTCAAACTTATCATTACACAATGCATACATCATTATAACACATCCTGAAAAGTGCTCAGTGATGCCCTTCACTTTTAGAGAGTCTGACACATAACGCTGTCCATTTTTCATATTTTTTCTCTTTCACCGTTTGTAAAATGTTTGTCGTTAATTTAGTACACAAAAGGTGAGGGCTTCCTGTCAGTGTACAATACTGTTATGCGTCAGTGACCACATCGTGGAATGATATTAGCTTGTAATGACACTTTATAAGGTTAGAGAAAAGGTCACAGTGTGTTTCAGGATGAGTATTTGGCCAAGAACTTACAGCCTAAGTCTAAGAGTTAAAAAAAGTGCCAGTTTCTTAAGATATATCATATTAAGTATACTGTGTATGCTATATTTTTGCATGACTCTGTGAAATTAGTAACAATGCAATACACTACTTTCAAACATTTCCAGGCCCCTTCTATTCATGATTTCTTTACTTTTTGATTACTTTAAGGTGTCCTCATTTCTGCCACAGGCATTCAACTGCCCACAACCAGCTTGTATATCGCTGCTGTCGGAAGAAAACCTCGTATCTCATAATATGAAAATGCCTGTTGCCCTTTATATTGTGTGTAAATTTAATGAAGAATGGACCAAAAGAAATGACCCAAAATGATTTTAAAACACGTCTGGTTCCATTGACTTACATTAAAAGTAAAGTCGTTTTTTTCCTTCTCCTGTAAAGTTACTATTTTGGACATATGAGATTTACTTCCAACAGCAGCGATAAACTCCTTATAGTTTAATTCTGTTACAGTTTTAGACAAATGTAGCATTAGGAGTCTTGCCCAAGGACTCTCATGGGCACAGTATGGTGTGCTTGCCCGGATGGGAAATTAAACCCCAGTCTGCTGCATGGAGGGCAGCTGTGTTACCTACTACACTACATCAAACTACACTACTAGAAAAGCACTGCTAGTAAAACGGGACACTCCAGGATTTCTGACTGAAGAGGGTCTGCAGGACAGACTTTCTAAAGCTGCCTCAGTCTCTTGCAGCGCCAGGGTTTTTGAACCATGTCTGAGGACGTATACTTGATGGACCCAGGATGGTCCACGTCACCATGTGCATCCCTTTTACAATGATAATGTCTAGGATGCTGTTCTCAAGAGGACTCCTGAAGATTCCTCAATCTTGTGTATGGATATCTTGCATAATATTTTTTTGGTTTTGGGGTGTATATTTCTGTGACATAGACTGAAAAAGTATTAAATGCTTCAAAGAGCTGAGGGCTGTATGTGTAAATGTCATGGATATCTGAACGGCCAGTCACAAACTGTCTGTTGGTGCTAATGTGACCAGAAACTAGTTCAATTTACTCAGCTGCAGGTCAGGAGGTGGGCTAAAACTTCAAAAGTTACACATTCTCAGTTCCATGTAGTTATGTATAATGACGTGTTCTTTTCTTAATATTTGCAAATGATCGTCATCATCATCATCATCGGTAACCGCTTAGTCCAGATAGGGTTGCGGTATATTTGCAAATGGATATCCATTTTATAATTCCATCCTTAACATTTAGTTTCTTCTTCCTTTTGGACTATTCTGTGGGTGACAGCACCTGGACTGCTGTGCTAGCATTTTGTTTTAAAGGGATCCAAAAAGAGAAGAACAGCACCTGATAACCATCTGTTCTTAGGCGGATAGATGTTGAATGTACCAAGAAGTTGCACTGCAGCTCTGTACGGAACTTTTTTTCAGGAGTTTTTCCCCCTTAATTTTGTTTTTTGGTAGTTACCCTTATTTCTATATGAGTAAGAATACTTGCGCTTTAGTGTGGTTTTATGCTGCTGTGGTTTTATCAGCTCCATGCAACTATTTTTATTTGCACATCTATATTACTTTGTTTGAACTCAATGTAAATTGAACTTTCATTACACAAATAATACAAGCCACTGCATGAAGACATGCCCTATATTTCCCAACTTCAGCCCTGGAGGGCCCCCTGCTCTGCAGCTTTGTGTTTTCCCAGCTGAATCAACTCAAGAAGAGGTTGATAATTATCTAAGTATATGACTCATAAGTTAAAGCGGAGGAAACACAAAACTATGCTTTGCAATAGGGTTCCAGGACTGGAGTTGGAAACCACAGTTATGGCCAAAGTGCCTCAGTGAGAGCAGCGGACTTTCAACCGCTGTCACGGAGCGCCCTCTTGTGACAGCTGGAATATAAGAGGGATTGTTTGCTTTGAGTTTTTGTTCAGTGGCATGTGGTGTATGTGGGGTACGGGGTTAATGAGTTTCTACCATAAGAAATACACTTTAAGGCCAAAGCCATCCTTAATATGACAGTCAGATTACAATGGACAACCAAAGGCAAACACTCAGCAAAAAATATCTCAGCGTCAGCAAATGCTGAGAAAAATGACCCATTTAATGTGTAATCGCTCTGTAATCTAGGTGTGCATAAACCGTGCAACACTAAAGAGAGTGAATTTTCATGAATGGGAATTATTTATTTATAATCAGGCTACTATTTAACCTTATGCAAACTGAACGTGGTGCGCTTGTATTCCTATTGGGATTGACAATGTAAAAAAGACACAACGTGCAAAGCAAACAGCAGTGTGGAAAGAAAGCTGCCTTATCTGTGCTGGTTGACCCAGTCGCACAAGGCCTGCTGGGTGGGATTGTGCCAGAATACCGGATCCACGCAGGTTTGTACTTTAGCCCTGTAGGGGGCCTGCTGCAGTCTTACCATTCACTGCTTCAAAACAACATGCACAGAGATGTTGAGCTTTCTTTCTATGTTTTTCTTTTTTAAAAACATTTTCAGTTCCTAATTTAAGTATATTCAAGGCTAATTTGAAACGCCATTGGATAGATAGATAGATAGATAGATTTCAATTTTACACACATCTTTTGACTTTATACTAATGAATAGGAACAACAAAGTATGCATTCATAAGCATAAACAAACATACACTATGAATTAATAACATTAACACTTTCCTGCAAAGCAGTTGTTGGCAACTCCATCTTTGATATTTCTTAGAGGTAAATAGCTTTTTGCAGCATTGTGGTTCACTTTTGGGAAAACAGTCTTCAATTCAACATGTTTACAATGGTCTTTCTGATGGACTCACAATTTCCAAACCATAAATGTCCAAAGGGGTTCACGTAAGGAGACTGAATAGGCCATGCAAGCAGCTCCAGCTTCCTTTTCAGAAAGCTGTATGTTTCTGGTCAGTATCTTATTGAAATGTTAATCTTCTCCTCGGACTCGGTTTCTTGGCCCAATTAGATTAAATTCTGCTCTATTATGTCCTGTTACATCACTCCATTATGTTTCTGTTGATGGAATATAATGCTGTTTGCAGAGAAGCAGCCCCATATCATGATGCTGCCACCTTTGTACTTCACTGTCATTGTGGTGTTTTTAGAAACCTGTATGCAACCCCTCTTTCTCCAAACATGACAAGCTGAATTATCACTCTGTTTTTGCTTCGTCTGTATATTACACACTTCGTCAAAACAGTCCTGATTTGTCTAAATGTTTGCATGAAAACTGTGCATCTCTGGGCTTTAAGTTTTAGTTCTGCGAGGGTGTAAGAACAGAGACGATTGGGGTGCATTGCTTACTTTTCTCTGAGAAAGTGATGTGTTAAATAACAACACACTTAATTATGTCGCCTGTTTAACACATTTTGTCTTATACTGCATTCTGTTTTAACACATTCTGTCTCTAACTGAAGACACCAATTTGTCTGGTTTGAGACAGAATGTGTTTTTTAACACATTTGTTTTAAGAGTGTTCCTGCTGCTTTTAGATCATCCTGCAACTCTTGCCGAGTGGCTGCTGGCTTCTCTCTGTCCCTCAGACCTTTAGGAAGCTCCTTCATCTTTACCATGAATGCTGCTTGTTGCGGGAAATGTTTCTAATCATGGCAACGTCTTTTATAATGAAACCAGAAATGTATTTATTTATTTATTGCAACATTAACATCTAGAATTATTTTGATTTGTTTTAAGCAGCCTTTACATGTCACTGTTGTTGGAAGAAAACCTCGTATTTCCAAAATGGTAAATTTACAGGAGAAGGAAAAAAACCTACTTTGCTTTTAATGTAAGTCAATGGAACCAGACGTTTTTCCATGTCATTTTGAGTGAAAATTATGTCAAAAACTGAAAAATGTCAAAAATGGAGATATGAGGTTTTCTTCCGACAGCAGCGATATATGTTTTAATAGTTATCACGTTTTCCCCCCAATCAATTTTGTTTCTTTTATAAAACATAGCTTTGTTCATGCTTATGAATACAAACTCAAAGGGCATGTGTGTCTAAAAATGGATACGTGTATCTTTTTTTAGTAAATTAGTTTTTTAATGCACTAGAAGTACATTAAAAAAAAACAAAAACAAAAGTGCCTGAATACTTGCTTCCCCTCACTGTAGTTTATAGACTGTATTTCATTGCTAATTTCCCCAGAAATGTCTCCCCAAAAATGAATAACTTGTAATTAATAGCTGTTTTGACTGGAAATTAAATACATTAAATGTGACTTCTTTCATAGATAGATAGATAGATAGATAGATAGATAGATAGATAGATAAACATCACACTATTTTGTAAAACTCCAAAAAAATACAAATAAAAAAAAACTCACTGCAGTTTTATCCTCTATGTCTACATAAAATTCAGTTAAATGGGACCATGTAGGTCAACTGGCTGCCTTGTATCCCTAAACAGCACCACCACAGCGCCATCGCGTTTAGAGATACTGAATAAGCCATGCAGCACTGACAGGGAGAGTGAAGGGCCAGTAAAGGTGGAGTTTCACCGCTGTCCCTGGCCTGGGAGGGCTTGTCTAGGGTCTGCTCCAACCCAAACCGCCATCTGTTGGACGTCCAGAGGGTGTGTTATGATCCCGTTCGCAGAACTGCCAAAAGGGGGGAAAAGTCTATCGATCGAACTGATAAGAGGACAATTTAAAAAGGCCAGATGCCCAGGTTTGCGTCAAAACAGCGCAACGTGCTTGGAAAAGCGCGACACAGAGGAGCCAACTGCACGCTGACCACGTCAGACCGGGAGGCCACGGGAACCCACCAACATGCTGCTGCTGTTGCTTATCGCCGCGTGCGGGAATAACGCTTTGTTCGGCTCTCAGGTGTCCGGCATGCCTCTCTCTGGTGCGGGGCCGCTTCTGTCCGGAGACTGGGGGGAACCGGTCAGACTCCGGCATCTGTACGCAGCCAGACACGGACTGCATCTGCAGATCAGCACAGACGGAAAGATAGGAGGCTCCCACCTGCAGAGCTCCCACAGTGAGTAAACTCAGCTGTTAGCAACGCAGAGCAGGAGCTACAGGCTACTTCACACCAGAAGAGAGGAGTGTAGGGTAAAAACCATTCAGGTAGAAGTGTTCTTAATTTCATGAAACAATGATGCAAGTTAAAGTAAAAGGATCTGGTAAAGGAATAAAAGTTTTAGGTTACAAACTTTCCACAGGTCCTTAGTCCTGCAGTGCATTTAGCATCACCAGCAGAGGAACTGAAGTCTGCTGGCACTTTTCCTCTTGATATTGAATCTTTTTTGCTCTAAAATAAAATGCTAAAGCTCAAAAGTGAGAGGGGTGAGGTTTAAAGCCAGGTTTTAAACCAACAAAACAGGATGAAATTCAACCCCAAACTGCACCTGAAATACTGGAACTGATCTGTGGAAAAGGTCAATTCCTTATGAATATACTGGAGTACTGGCATTCCAAGTATTAGTATTTGAAAATACTCATTACAAGTACACCGTAACTGGTCTAAAGTACTAGCTTAAAAAAGTTCTTCAAGGGTACTTTAATAAAGGCAATGGTTCTGCATAGAACCATGAACACTCAAAGAACCATTTGCATGCTTAAATGGTTCTTCAGATTGATGGAGAATTAGTTGTATATGGTTCTACATAGATCCTTTGTGAAAATGGTTCCATATAGCCCCAAAAGGGTTCTGCTATTGTTGTGATGTCAAGCTTGTAACCATTGCAGAACATTTTTAATGCTATATAGAACCATATGCAACCTCATCAATCTGAAGAACCATTTCACCATAAAAAGAACCATTCAAGCCTGACATGGTTCTATATACAACTTATGGTTCTAAACAGAACCATTGCCGTTAATAAAGAACCTTTGAAGTACCATCTTTTTAAGTGTGTATAGCAAAGCAGCCCAGGTTTTAAACCAACAGAACAAAATGAAATATGACCCCAAACTACAGCTGAAATACTTTAACTGATCTGAGGAAAAGGTCAATTTCTCACTGATATACTGGAGTATCAGCATTTGAAGTATGAGTATTTGAAAATACTCATTACAAATACACAGTAACTGGTATTAGGCAAATGAAACCAGTTATTACATGTTTCCAGTTCAACTGCATGATTCTAACTCAGTCTAAACTCTTTTCCAAGGTTTGATGGAAATTCGCCCCATCGACACTGGCTGTGTCGTTATCAAAGGTGTTGCAAGCTCCCGATATCTGTGCATGGAAGCGAATGGGAAGCTGTATGGATCGGTGAGTGGCTCATGGCTACTAAACTAAAGTCACCCTTACTCACAAGATGTGTGGATGAAGTTGAAAATTGGCAGCACTTTTATTAGGCTAATCTTTGGTTATTGGTACACAAATACAGTCAATAACACTGCATGCATGTCAGCGGAGGGTAGAGTAGGAGTACAAAGGTGCCTGTTTAAAAAATGTAGTGTACAACGGTGGATAGAGTAGCACAAAACCCTGACTCAATTAAAAGCATCGCTACTTCTGTGAAATAACCACTCAATAAAAGTAAAACTACCTATCCGAAAAAAAGAACTTTAGTAGAAAAGCTAAAGCAGCTGGCCAAAAAAACTACTTATGTACTGAGAAACATGTAAAATCTACCAGCGTTGGAATTGAAGTTTGGTAGGCCCAACAATTTCTCACTTTTTGAGATTTTTTCAGTATAAAATAAAATGAAAACCTCAAAAGCCAGAGGTGTGACCAATCACAAATCAGTACTGAACCTGCCGCCAACATAACGGAATGATATAATATAAAAAAGGAGTTAGTAACTAAATATGAATGACCAAACTCTAACTGAGTAAAAAGTTGCTTACTTTTCTTCATAAATGTACTTGAGTAGAAGTAAAAGTATGTTTTTTGAAAATGCTCGGAAAAGTACAAATCCATCAAACTTTTACTTGGAGGCATGGAACTGAGCCATTGTAATTACTAGCCTTATCTGGTACCTAACCTTAGTTACCTGAGTAACTAACAGAACTATACAACTTTTTAGTACATCCAGCATTGGAGCTGAAGTTTGGTAGGCTCAATTCTTCACTTTTTGGGATTCTTTCAGTCTAAAAAAAATGACTCCAAACATCAGAAATGTGACCAATCAGGACCAAGCCTGTCATTAACCCCTTAAATGGCCAGGCCCGCCAGCGAGCAAAAAAGTTTTATTACAAACTTTCTATAACCTAGGAATAGCCCAGCTAGTTTGCATTGAAGTCCCTGTAGTAACTGAAAAATAAGCCTTAGTGTGTAATAAGCCTGGGATTTCAAGGGGTTAACATAAGTAATTAGAAACCACATGTAAATGTTAACAACTAATATGCAACTGAGTAAAAAGCAGCTTACGTTCCTCATAATAAACTTGAGTAAAAGTAAAAGTATTACAGTCTGATGCACATACTGGTAGAATTTCAGTAGCACTTCAGTTGTGCGTGTTAAAGGTTACCCATGGCTTTATTTTGTATGAGTTGTTTGGGTTTATCAACGTTTACCAGCCCAAGGTTCATTCCACCCAGTAAACTCTTGCCCATCATTTTGAACAGTAGTCTCTGAAGGGGTGAACATAAGCAACCTGATAGAGAGCCAGGGTCACAATACTGGTTTTGTCCTGAAAAAATGGTCCTAAATACCCATATATATATATATATATATATATATATATATATATATATATATATATATATATATTTGTATTTGTTATTTAATAGTACTAATAGTAAATTTCTTGTATATATATTAGAAATTTTATAATGAAAGACGAAAGTATTCAAATAATTTAAAGTGTATAATCCATAATGATGATTTTGTGGTCTCCTAAAGAATAGTTTGCTGACCTGTCCCAATTTATAAAGGAATTAATCTTACAAAATTGAACAAATATACTTTGTGACATCACATTCGCAACCTTTGTCCTCTGCTGGGTACATTTACATAGCTAAAAGCTAAATGAAAAGAAACAGGAATAACAACCTTGGCCCCTGTATGTGCAGGACAAACAGCCATCGAAGAACCTAAAACAAGGGCTCAACTGATAAAATAGGCCTATGAGAGATGTACAATTCACAGTATATAAACCCTCTGCATGCATATATCTCATCTTTCCTGTTTCATTTCTTCCCATAGTACATCTATGTGAAAGAAGACTGCTCTTTTCTGGAGCATATTCTACCAAATGGCTACAATGTCTACACTTCGGGAAAACACGGGACTTTTCTGAGCTTGGGCGGTGGTAGAAACCGGCCCCAAAGTGCTCTCGCTCAGTTCCTGCCTATGGTCAATACATTGTCACAGGAGCCAAAGGGCTATGACTCAAGAGAAGGGCACTCTCCGCCTGACCCAGAGCAGGATCTTCACTTAGGCTTACGAGCAGACAGCATGGAGTCCTTTGGGAAGATCTCCCAAATTGTCATTCAAAGCCCTAGTTTCAACAAAAGATGAGTAGAGTATTCACTCAAAGAGTTTCAAAAGATCTGACCCGGGAGTTCAACCCAGTGGCAAGAGGCTGAATGGTACTGGCCTGGCCTGAAAGGAGAGAACAGAGGAACTCTCTTTCTCTCAGAACTCAAAGACTGTGGCAAGACGAGGATCAAGTTTCCAAAAGCCAGTTCTGACCATGGACACACAGGGGGATACACGGATCAACGACATGCTGATGTTAAATCACTCCAAATGTTGAAGCACAAAAGAAAAAAACAATAACAAAATACAATATACTAGAGTATCAACTGCAGCTTAGATTTATTTATTTCTGATGATGAAGTTGACTGTAATGCTTAAGCTCTAGGTCTTATAGTAACAAGCTTACTTGAGTGCACTCATATCTACATTGTGTAGAACTTTCAACAACCACTGTTTGTAGCTTGGCTTTTGTACTTGCTGTATTTATCTCAAGCTGTATTTGGCAAACTATTTTTGTTGGAATATTCCGAATTAAATAGACATTTATTTTCATTTTCTGAGACTTATTTCCATTTTTTTAACAATGTCTACAGAGGTCAGGGCTTAATCTTTTGACCTTAATCGTTCACAGAACAATGACCAATTATCGCTAACTACAGTCGTGTGTTTGTAAGTTTGTACATCTCCAGTCAAATTACATGTTTTGTTGATGTTCTAAGTGAACATAAGTATCCATCCTGAACGGGGAACCACCTTAAATATTTAACAACCTTTTTTTTCTGCCAATTTAATTTTACAATTTCTATTTATTTGCTGGAAAGGTACTGGAAGTAGCTATATGTAGGAACACATTGCAGACCAATCAAGTCACCAATGTTAATAACATGCATACAGAATGTGAGTCAGGCAGCCAGTCAGCTGACTAGATTCTGGAACATGCATTCTTATTGGATTAAGGATGCTAAAGAGACCAACCTTTTTGGATACCCAGTCCTGATAATGACTTCTTAACAGTATTTGGAAGAATACAATGGTAAAGTTGCAATACCTGGTACAGTTATTATAAACACAATCCTGATAAATTGGCCATTATAATGTATAAGTATAATGGTTTATTATGGGGTTTATTATTATAACACCAAGGCTACGTTCACATTACAAGCCTCATTGCTCAAATCCGATTTTTTGCTGAAATCCGATCTTCACACTCGTTTAGGTAAGTGATTCAAATCTGTCATTAATGTGAATTAACCGGCGTCCTGAAATGACCCGCATGCGCATAACGTCACGTGAATGAATCACATGCAGTGGAAAAAAGCGCAGTTGAAAAAAAAGCGCATGAATTCCGATCTGAGCGTCACATTAAGGTCACGTGGTCACGAATAAGATACGTATCCGATCTAGGACCACATAAGTGGCTCAGGTCGGATTTGAAAATATCAGATTTGCGTGTCCACACAGCCCTGAAAACATCAGATCTGAGTCACATTAGGGCAAAAAATCGGATTTGTGTCACTTCAACCTGCTAATGTGAACGTAGCCCAAATGAACAGGACACAATTAAGCAAGTAAGTAAGTAAGTACTAATAATGAAACCCCCTACATTATTTATGTCATGCTTATATTTTACACCACTGCTATCAAATAATGCAAACACCACCCTTCTGAAATAGAGCCAAAACAGCTATGAAGCATGAAGTTGGTCATTTTTCAGTGCCAGAAAACATATATTTGACAGTAAACAGAAAATTTCACAAATGACTTGTCAAGCAACTTATATTAGAATATATTAGAATTGTTTTCAGTATTTACACTTTGCCTTTCTTACAGCTTAAAAACTACAGGGATCTTTTGCCACATCTCCAAGATTCAGAGTTAGAAGTTGGCTACATTTTCTTCTTCTTGTGTTTTAAGTTATCCCAAACATATTCAGTGATGTTGGGGTCTGGACTCAGTCCACTGTTCTGAGAACACCAGCAGCTTCTGTGGTTGATTAGCACATTTTCTTCTTTTTTTCTGTCTTCTCCTTGACAGCTACAAATCCTTTCAGACTCATAGCACTGAATTGTCTTCTCACAGTGAAAGGATGGAAAGAAACACCTGTGGATGTTCTCTGATCTGAAGCAAGAGCGGAGCTTAATTTTCAAAGATGAAAGCGCCAAGAACCATTTGCCTGATGGTGACAGTTTTGGTGGTCTACCAGGTCATGCAGATCATTTATATTATTTTTCTTTGATTTTTCCCTCTCTTACTTTTCCCTCTCTTTATAGCTAATCTCCTCCGATTTCTGAACAATACCGTGTGTTACTGAATAATACATACATACATACATACTCAAAACCGCTTATCCTTCTGGGTCACGGTGGGGTGCTGGAGCCTATCCCAGCTGTCATTGGGCGGAAGGCAGGATACACCCTGGACAGGTCGCCAGTCCATCACAGGGCAGACAGACAGACATACACAATCACACTCACACATTCACACCTAGGGGCAATTTAGCATGTTACTGAATAATATGTACACACACACACACACCAATCGGGCATAACATTATGACCACCTCAGACTGTAGTCCATCTGTTTATCTGCATACTTTGTTAGCCCACTTTTACCCTGTTCTTCAGTGGTCAGGACCCCCATGGTCCCTTACAGAGCAGGTACTATTTGGGTGGCACTGCAGTAACACTGATGTGGTGGTGGTGTGTTATTGTGTGTTGCACTGGTCTGAGTGGATCAAACTCCAGCAGCACTGCTGTGTCTGATCCACTTGTACCAGCATGTAAACCATACTAAAAATAAATACTACAAAGACAACATATCAAATGTTAAACTGAGAAATCTTATTGTTTTTTGAAAAATAAATGCCCATTTTGAATTTAGTGCCAACAACACGTTCCAAAAAAGTTGGGAGGGTGGGATCTTTACCACTGTGTTTCATCACCTCTTCTTTTAACAACACTCTGTAAGCGTTTGGGAACAGAGGATACACTGCTGTAGTTTTGAAAGTGAAATGTTTCCCATTCTTGTTGATATAGGATTTCAGCTGCTCAACAGTTCAGTGTCTCCTTTGTCGTAATTTTCATTTCATAATGCGTCAAATGTTTTCAGTGGTGACAGGTCTGGACTGCAGGCAGGTCAGTTTAGTACCCAGACTCTTTTAATACGGAGCAATGCTTTTGTAATACATGCAGAATGTGGATTGACATTGTCTTGCTGAAATAATCAAGGCCTTCCCTGAAAAAAGACATTGTCTGGATGGCAGCATATGTTGCCAAAACATGTATATATATCGTTGAGCATTAATGGTGCCTTCACAGATGTGCACGTCACCCATGCCATGTGCACTAATGCACCCCTATACCATCATGAATACCGGCTTTCCAAAAAAAAATTTAAATGTTGATTCATCGGACTACAGGACAGTTTTGCGCTATACCTCAGTCCATTTTAAACAAGCTTGGGCCCAGAGAAGGTGGCAGCGCTTCTGGATCCTGTTTATATATGATTTCTTTTTTGTGTTTTTGAGTTTTAACTTGCATTTGTGGATACAGTGATGAACTGTGTTCACAGACAGTGGTTTGTGGAAGTGTTCCTGAGCCCATGCAGTGATTTCCACTACAGAATCATGTCTGTTTTTAATGTAGTGCTGTCTGAGGGCCCAAAGATCACGGTCAGCAAATACTGTTTTTTGGCCTTGTCCCTTGCGTACAGAGATTTCTCCAGATTTTCGGAATCTTTTAATGTTTAATGCCTTTACTGGAGGGGGTCCGGGAGCATGGATGTAATGGCCTCAAAATGTGTGTTCACCATGAGCTTTAAGAGGAGTAACAGGTTTAAAATTGATCACAAAATGCGACTGTCCTCTTATACTTTGTACTAGGCAAGGATTAAAATGATATAAATATACTGACTACAGACTTGTACCTGATCAGACAGCCCTGTCACTCTCCTTCAGCTCCTTTCTTTCATCGTTCCTGTGTTCAGTATCACATTATTTTTTTATTAAATTCAAGTTTACATGAACCCAAGGCTTAATGAGAGACCAGTCATTTACATTTTTATTTGAACTGGAAAAAATCTTCTCACCTGACTGGCCTTCAATGGAGCTGCCACCTATTAAAGACATTTTGTACCTCCATCTACAGGTTGGAAAATTGAGGGATATAAAATTGCCTTATGATCAAAATTATACGATTACACTGAGATTAACTTTCTGTAAATCTATGTACTAATGATTTTCAGATATAAAGAGAAATATGAAAACAAATGAAATAATGAGCTGTCAGTAAGGTTATTTCTATCGCTTTTACTCGCTACAATAGTCGGCTCGTCAGCTAGATAACGTTACTGTTAGCCTATCCATTTGTCTCTACCTCAAGTAAACCTCAAGTTAGCTAGCTAGCTAGCTAATAAACAACCAGTAAAAACTCGTTAGCCAGCTATATTGACCATAATTTATCATGAAGTCATATTGTAGGTAGGTATTCTCACTCTTACTGTTTCACTCTGTATGCGGTGTATTTTAGAATAAGGCTTAATGTTTATTTTAGTAAGTTTTAAGCCAAAATCCTGTCACAACTTCAGCGGCTGTTGGCAGCGTGAACAGTATCAGAGACCTTCATACAGGCGTGATATAATTGGCTTACAACTTGGTCTGATGTGATTGGCTGAGCGGGAGGTTTATGCTAAACAGCAACATTCTCCGTCTCTCCAAATGGGAGGGGCGTAACATCAAACGGGCGGACCATAGCGCCAAATGGTAGGGCTTCGCTATTGGCTGTGGAGAAATCCGGTGAGTTTTCTGTGACGCTAGTTTCCGTGTTCCTACTGGCTGGTCGTAACAGAATTATGTTGCTGATATGTTTTTTAAAATTAATTAATTAAGATTAAGATTGATTTTAATTTTAAGAAAAAAATCTTAAATGTAGATTAATTAAAGGGCCAGACCAGTGGTCACCAACCCTCCCCCTGGAGATCTCACTCTTAAAAGGATGGTTCATCAAGGGTTCTTTAGTAAAGAAAATGCTTCTATATAAAACCATGAACACTCAAAGAACCATAAACACTCAAAGGTTCTGTATAGCACCAAAAAGGGTTCTGCTATTATTATGATACAAGCTTGTAACAATAGAAGACCCCTTTTTGGTGCTAGAACAAACCCTTTTCCAAAAGGTTTTATATAGAACCATCTACAGCACATTCTCCATTAATCCGAAGAACGTTTTTACAATACATAGAATTCTTTAATCATGCAAAAGGTTCTTTGAGTGTTCATGTTTCTATAGAGAACCATTTTCTGCACTAAAGAACGCTTGAAGAACCATCTTTTTTTAAGAGTGTACCTCCACCAACACACCTCTTCCAGCTAATCAAGCACTTCTGAAGGCAGTAATTAGATGGATCAGGTGAGGTCAATTAGGGCTGAAGCCAAACTCTTTAGGTAAGTAGATGTCCAGGAGCAGGGTTGGTGACCACTGTGCTAGAATTAACACACAGTGTAGTCTAATGTTACTCCCTGTCTGAAAGTCAAGTGAATAGCATGTATATAAATA